TAAAAGATGTTTTTAGTGTAGGGTTGGAGATACTCTTAGACTTTTCTTTTATTCTTGACTCATAATGCTTCCTTCATCGATGCTTTGTCCTTTTTTCTCTGAAGCCTAACACAACCTCTTTCTCCGATTAAGATACACATTACATCTAAAATGATATTAGATTGTGTTTGTGGAAGAAGAGATCAAAAAAGTCAGATATTAGGCAACTTTGTAGGCAAAGAAAGGAGATAAGTGATGAAGCTTGAATGGTGGATGGTCATGGCCAGATCAATCTGATGGGTTTTGAGGATCATAAACAAAACTATTAGGACAACGAAAGCAACAATTTAATCATCAAAAGGCCCAAAAATCGGATCTATGAACAACCTATCAGTTGCAACTTGCTTATGCAAGAAGACATACCCCTTAGGGTTTGTAGAAACCTTCGTAGATCTTCGATTGTTTGATGAGCGCTAAGAGTCCAACGTAGAACTCTTCTTTCGTAGTCGCACCCAAGGAACTTAGATCAGCAACATCCAAAAACGACCCATGCAACAAACACAATGAACGAATGCTCCAAAATCCGAAATTTGATAAAACTTCGTCGCCACATCGTGGAAAAGAAGCGACCATGCCGTGGGAACTGGGATTTTGGTGTTTTCAGGAATGAGTAGGTATTACCGAATTTTCTCTAGGGTTTTAAGATTTCTCATCTTCTAAATTCGTCCGGCCTCTCTATTTATTAGTAAGCACCTTATAATAATAATATTATCAATTGTTGGAATTGTGTTGTAACGATGAGCATCATTCTCCATCATAACCCTCCTCCAATCAACTCATATTGTGGTTAAGACGGTTTATTTTTTTAATTATTCTACTTCTTTATTTCAGTTTTTGGGTTCGGGGGCTAAATTCGTTTGAACATAATCCACTGAATAGCCTCTATGGTTGATGAATGCCTACGAGTTAAGGGACTTATAAACTGTGTAATTTTGTTTAATCATGACCTAAATCCCTTAAAGAACTATGTTGGCTTTTTTGGATGAAGGAAAATTGCTCGATCAAATGCCTAAAAGAAGATCTTCACACGTTTATTAGCTTTTACTAGGAAAAGAATAAATTATGGTACCATTTGGCTTGTTATTTTTCATTGAACTCTATAATTAACTTCATGTATTTAAATAAATTAATTTCAAATTAATTTGATTCTTCCGTTATCAGCAGGACTTGAAATGGTTTATGTTGATGGTTTTATTGTTTGGTGTCATTGAGTGGTGTAAAAGAAAAAAAAAATGACTAATGTTAGTTAAGACTATGGGAATTGGTGGCGTATGTTAAAGAGATGCTAAGACATATCATATCAGATTTTTTCTTTCACCTGATCTTTTTTCATAGAAAGTATATACACTTGGATTTTGGGGAAACAATTAAAACAAAAATGCAAATAAAAGATAGCCAATCACACTCTTCTGATTTTAGAAAAAAAATTAAAAAATAATAAATAAATACAAAAGGACCAATGACAGCCCACACCAAAGAATCTTTTCCTCTCTCTTCTCGTTAGTGAACTAGCGAACTCTTCTTAGCGTGTCTGCTTAACATGGTGTAAGGGGTAGTGTTTTACTTACGTTAAGCTTTTGACAAGTGGGTATGTCGCTCCCACTCCCTTTAGCCTAAATGTTCTATTTTGGTCCAAGTAGTTTGACTTTTTGATTTTTTGACTGTACATAAGAGTCAACTAGTTAAAAATGATGTGTACTCAGTATTTTAAAATTTGTTTATTGACATGAGATATGAATTGTTTTCTTTATATTTGAATTTGCTTGTAAATTATTTGTTTTTATTGCAATTATGTTTCCATTAGTGTAAATTATTTGTTTTTATTGCAATTATGTTTCCAAATACTAAGATTTGCTTTTTACACAATTTAAATAAGATTTTACAATGGTTAATGACAATTATAAGAATAATTGGTAAAAATTAATCGAGAAAATGAAAATTAGAAATATAAAAATACAAAATATGATAAAAGCTTATGAAAATCATAATGACATAGTCGTAAAAAATGCTCTTTGAAAAGAATAAACATTGTAAAATTATTCATTTACCTTTCGTTGTTTACTACAACCAAAAAGAGAATTTATTGTCAAAAAATATTTTTAAGTGAATTCTTTATTGTACCAAATAGTAGAATCGGTTCTCTTGCTTCATTTTAAATTTTTTTCTCTTCATTTTCATTCTCATTCAATTATGTTTCTTTGTACCTAGCAAGCCTTAAGGGGAATGATGATTTATCTTCTATTAATTTTTTATCTACCAAATATATTCAAATGCCTACATGGTTCAATTATATAAAAAAAATTATCTTTTTTTTCTGTTAATGTGTTGTTAATGAATTTATTTATAGTTAACTTTTAAATAAAAAGAAAACTATACATACTAGAGTATTAATTTGTATATACATGATCATATTAATAACTTAAGATCTAGGATTAAAACTATTAAGTCATAAAGAATGGAGACATCACAATTTTGAAAATTCTACAGGCTTCATACACTTATTGTGATTCCTATCATGTGTCTCAGCCAGCCCAACATTTAGCCCAATACGAGTTCAATTCCTCCTTTGAATATACATTTTATGTATTACATCATTGAATTTTGATTATCACTAGTTTATCCATACATATTATGGTGTGATAATATTATGCCCACGTATTTGTTTTTAATCTAGTGTTTAATTTGCATATATAAACATCTTAAGGTTGAATTATATTTTATTTGTGGGGATAATTATTTAAAAGATAATATATTTTTTGATTTGTACATATTTGGTCACTGAATTTTTTATTCGTTTACATTTACCCCTTCAACTTGTTTAACTGTACACATTCAGTCCTAATGACCGTCAACTTCACTAGTTTGAAGGAGAAACTAAATGTGTACAATTACACAAGTTGAAGCGGCAAATATTGACGAAAAAACTCAGTGACTAAATATATACAAATCAAAAAATATATTATCTTTTTAAATCATTATCCCTTTATTTGTGACATGGTTCTGACTCAAATTTTTATGGTTCGTTATATACTCAATATTTTGTTAGAAAAATATGGTGAAGAAGGTGTATTGACAATCAAAAATCTTGGATAACCACAGATCATGTAATCATTTTCCTTTAAATTTATTTGCACCCTCTCCATAGGTTCCCACAAACAATTTTGTTAAATACTCCTACATTAGGCACCTAAAACTCTTGCCAACAAGAAAGAGAAAGAAAAATCTTTAAGCTAAGAAGTCGGATATTTTCGCAGCAATTAGGGTGCGTTTGGTTGTGGAAAATTTTCCACTTTTCCAGGAAAATTTTCTAAGGAAAACGGAAATTTTCAAAACGCGTTTGGTTCGTCAAGTTTTCCAAAATTTTCCACGAAAATGAAAATTTTCATTTTTCCAAATTGTGTGCAAATTAGAAAACTCATTTTATCACTTTTCCACAGTTTTCATTTTCTAAAAATTTTCCACGACGTCTTTAGAAGATTGGGCTATACGCGTTAATTTGAACAGATTGGGCCTATATGCTTTCATTCAAACAGATACCCTACATAAGTCTCTTTCTCCATCGTGTGATTCGAGCATCAAGCGGCTCCTCCATCTCGCCATCTCGCCTCTGATTCATCGCTGGAGCACCGATCACTAGAGCGCCAATTGTCGGGCATCTCACTCCTTTAACCATCGGAGCTTCTGGTTCTCAGATTACTCCTGATTCATCACCGAGCATTCAGGTTTGAACATTGCTTCTGATTTACTTCTTATTCGACTTCTTATGCGCTTCTTACTTCTGAATTCACATGATTTTGAACAGAACCAAGTATTATTACTTGGGTTTTTATTATTATTTGCTTCTTGTTCATTTCAACATAGAATCTGGAGGTGTTTGAGTCGAAGTTTTAAGTAATTATTTCTCCGTAGAGTTCCCCATAAACCACCATACCACCACCACGCTTAATGTTACCGCCTGAAAAATTGGTCTTGTGTTTATATCCAAAACCATTATTGTTGCTATTAACCTCGCTTCTTCTCACTGTTACTACTGAAAGGGGTTCTTCTGCAGTAATCTTATTCACCTTTTCTGAAGGTGCTTCATCTTCAACAAAATCATACAGAGGAAATTCATCAACTGTATATCTGAACTCATGGAAAACAATACCAAATCCCAAATCTTTTATCATCTTCATGTATATATATATATATATATATATATATATATATATATACATACACACACACACACACTAACTAACCTGTCATCGCCATCTTCCTAGACATGATTATGATCCTGAAGTGTTAAGAAAACAATACAATTTGCCCCTTTAGTTCATGTGAACTAATAATTAAATGTGCATTGATTGTATACAATTTGGTTTGTTATAAATTATGTTAAATGATTTATTTTATTTGTAATATCTTTTAGTAACATATAGATTTTTCAAGGCTACATGTTTTTGTTTCTATATCATTTAAGAGCTATTTGATAGTAATATGGAGGTGTTTCAATTGCTCTTTCCTCTGTACCATGTTACATTTGGACTCTATATATATAAATATGTTTTCTTATTCCCATCAACCAAAAGGTTTAACACAACTTAGTGGTATATCTTTGTTGTTTGTGTGATGTTTTTGTCCTGTTTATGTGCTGATTTTGTTATTTATATGCTGTTTTGTGCTGTTTTTCTATTGATTTTGCTGTTTATGTGCTGTTTTGAGTTGTTTTGTAATGTTTTTGAGCTTTTTTTCTTGTGTTGTTTTTGTGTTAATTGTGCTGTTTTTTGTATGGATTTTGTGTCATTATCGGGTTGTGGGGAATTGGTTTAAATTTGGGTGATACATAGATGGGTGGACATAGCCGTGATACTATGGATTGGACCAAAGAATGTGAAAAGTATTTGTCAGATATTCTACACGAAAGAGTTAAAAGAGATCCTAATGGGGCTCCAATCTTCAAAGGAACTGATTGGGTATAAATGGATGAACAAATTTTTATGAAATTTGCTATAAGATATGGCCCTGAGAAGTTGAAAGGAAAATACCACCGTATGAGATCTGTGCATACGAAGTTTAGTGAGTTGATCAACCATACAGGTGTCACATGGGATGCTACATCAGGAAAAGTATTTGCTAATGACATTGTTTGGGATGATTATTTTAAGTTATAAACTTTTTTAAGCTTGATAATTTGTTAATTTTGGCTTACTATACTAACTAGTAAGGTATTGTTATGCCAAATATTGCAGCGACATAAAGTTTTTAAAACATTCAAGAAAAAGGGTTGCAAGATCTATCCATTGTTGAGTCTTGTGTTCAGTGGTTCTACAGCTTTTGGTGCTTTTCATAATGCATCCACCTGTGCTCCTCAAACATCAGAAGAAGAGCGTAGAATTGAGGATGAGTACCTAGATGTGGGTAGTGTTGGCGAGAGTGCGTTTGATGGGAGTAACCGGAAAGGAAAATGTAAGACGGAAGGGGACATTGAGGGTCTACCCGGTACAAGAAGAGAGAAAAAAAGTGATGGAAACTCCAAATATGATATCCTTTTAGATGCATGGTCAGACTCAATGATTGCTAGAAAGGAAAGGGATTTAGCAAAAGCAGAGAGATATAAGTCAAAGTATGGAGACACAACAAGCTTGTTTGTAGAGGAATACTCTGTTGGTGATTGCATGGCTACATTGGAAGCTACACACGGTGTTAGTTCTAAATCTTACAACAAGGCATTATCGTTCTTTCCTGATATTAATTGGAGAAAAATGTTCCTAATGATGTCTGAGAATAGGAGGAAAGATTGGCTTGATTCTTTGGATGAGTAGTTGTTTTACAATGTAGGGATGTCGTATGAAATTTGATACATATTATTACACTAGTTTATTTGGTATTTGAATTTGGTGTGTTGTGTGTTTGATGTTTATGTATGAACTTGATGTCATTTATTGTACATTTTGATGATATATATATATATATATATATATATATATATATATATGGAACTTGATGTGTTATTTTACTTGACGAGCAGTAATTATGAATGATTTATTATGCAGATAAAGTGCTACAATGTCAGATTCCTCAGATAGTAGCTCTTTGAAACGCCCCATCTCTGGTATGTTGTTCCCGTGGCATTTATTTAGAAGTTTTATAGAGGGACTCGACGAGTCTATGGCCTGACTCGTCGAGTAGGGTCGAGTTTTCGTGCACGTGTTAGTCGGCGACTCGGCGAGTCCATATTCAGGACTCAGCGAGTCTGCTTGCCAGGTTGAAACCCTAAATCCCCGGGTTGCTCGCTATTTAAGCAATGATATGTGCCCTAAACTCGCCTCCTTCACCCTCAGAGAGAGCTGTGAGAAACCCTAATCCATTCCTTGATTGATTTAAGTGTTTTTGTGTGGATTCTTGAAGGCTTGAAGAAGAAGAAGGAGAAAGGAACAAGGAGAAGTGTTGTAGAGCAAAGATCCAAGGTCAAAATCAGAGTTCATTGAGGTATTTCTCGAAATCCCTCTGTTTTATGCTTAAAACTTCCATTAGATCATTTCTAAGGCTAGTTTGAAGTTTTTTTTTCCAACCATATAGTTGTATGGTTGCCTTAATAGGTCGAGATATCCATAGATCTGTTCATTTAGGAGTTGTAGAACCCGGATCTATTGCCTTTTTGAAGTTGCTTTGCATAAGAACCTTAGATCTAGCATTTATCATGCTTTTTGAGCCTTATAATCTTCATTGATGCTTTTGGACACGTAAAGATAGAATCTTTACGTGATAATCGGACTAAGGGGAGCTCAGATCTATAAAGTGTATGCGGTGATTTTGATCAGAATCGGGTTTTTAGGATCTGCATGCATGTGACTCGGTGAGTCGTTCTTCGGACTCGGCAAGTCCGGTCTCAAGTCCCGAATCTTTACCCTTTGGGTGATTCCGAGTGGAGGCCAGTGAGCTGTAGGAGGGACTCAGTGAGTCGAAGGGCAGACTCAGTTATGGTGGGACTCGACGAGTTGTTCATACAACTCGGTGAGTCCAAGGCAATCTTCTTATGATTCAAGAACAACTCGTCGAGTTGTTCATACGACTCGGCGAGTCGGATGCAGATGACCTGAGTGTTGATATAGAGCGGGAACTCGTCGAGTGTATGCCATACTCGATGAGTAGCAGTGAACAGGGTTGAGAAATGAGAGTAGGGACTCGGCGAGTTGGCGGCCCAACTCGGCGAGTCAGGTCAACTGTAAAGTTGACTTTGACCAGGAGAGTTGACTTTAGCCAGGGGTAAAAGAGTCATTTACCCCAATGCAGTTATTAGTAATTTGATGGAGTGTATTTGTGGAATTGTAGCCGGGGAGATACCGGAGCAGCAGCAGATAGTTCCTGGAGCCACACACTCAGCAGCCAGATCACGAGGTGAGTTTCCTTTCAGTAGGAACGGGTCTAAGGCTACAATGCCAGCCCGTTTAGCTAGCAGAAATTTCCGGACTTCGGTCCGATGCAGATTTTAGTATGTTTGATGCCTTCATGGCTCAAGCAGGATTTGGTGTTATGTGTTTCGGGTTACAGTCCAATGTAGTATGCTATCTAAGTGCTCATGTTAGTTGATATGCTTATGTGATGCTACGTTAAGTATGTTCCGGACTTCTGTCCGATGCAGTCAGTTCCAGAATTCGGTCCGATGCAGTTAGTTCCGGACTTTGGTCCGATGCAAGAGTCAAGGCCTCAGTAGTTCCGGATCTCGATCCGATGCAGAGGGCAAGGCCCTGGTTAGTTCCGGACTTGGGTCCGATGCAGTTTCCGGACTTCGGTCCGATGCAGTGGGTAAGGCCTAGTATGTGTTTATATGTATTATTATGGTATGTGGTAGTTTGGGGGAGCTCACTAAGCTTCATGCTTACAGTTTCAGTTTTGGTTTCAGGTACTTCCGCAAGCAAAGGGAAGAGCTCGGGTTGATGGCATCGCACACACCACAGCTTCAGCTGTCCTGGGAGTTGTTTTGGTTTTCATAGATGTGATTGAATCAGTCTTGATACAGTTTTTTCATAACACTTTGCTATTGCTTTTGAGATATTGACGTATGAGTTTTACTATATGATATTATCATGGTGTTTTTTGTAATTATTAAACAAAAATTTTTGGGTTGTATTTTGGGATGTTACACTCTTACTTAGATGACGATGATGATGATGATATGGATGATATGATGATGTTCTTTTTCATAAAAAATCACGAGAAGAATTTTATTGATCGAATTCCTTGTAGGACATCAATGTTAAGTGGAAAAGAATATATTAAAGAGATATTATGTGGGAATCCTATTCAGTGTTATGAAGCAATTAGGATGAAGCCACATGTTTTTTTGAACTTGTGTGATAAACTAAAGATGATGGGTTTGTTGCAAGATCGTAAGGAAGTAAGTGTAGAAGAAGGTTTGTCAATGAGTTTGCAGATTCTTTGTCATGGCACAACACAACGTTTGATTTCTGATCGTTTTCAACATTCGACTTCGACCGTGCATTATTGGTTTAAGAATGTATTAAGAGCTTTGAAAGCGTTTGCTCATTCAGTAGTTAAAACAGTTGATAGAGGTGAAGTTCAACCAGAAATTCGAGCAAATTCAAGATGGTATCCATTCTTTAAGGTATTCATTGATCTCTCCCTATTAATATTTACACATATAAGCTCTATTTCTCTATATATATCTCTCTCACAAATATATATATATATATATAATTTCTATGCAGAATTGTATCGGTGCTATTGATGGCACACATGTAGCAGCTTGGGCTCCATCATCAAAGCAAAAGTCATTTCGAGGTAGAAAAGCAGTTCTTGTAACATAAAATGCAGCTGAGGACTGTTTTGAATAGAGTTAGAGATTTCCCTAGGGCAAGCCTAGGATGAGAGTAGCAGAGATCAGTAATAGTAGAAGTGACTTGGTGGAGTCAAGGCAGTTCTTGAGGAAAGTACAGATAGATGTGGAAGGTAGTATGGGCCCGTACTACTGAAAGCAGAGGATCCGTACTCGAATCAAGGAAGGCCGAGACAACACCAGGAAACTAGTATTGGTATCAGTGATCCCTTGAAATATTTCAGTTTTCTGATGTTGCTATGATTTGTTTCAGAATGGTAGTTTTGCGTTCGAGGCCAGCAGTCGACAGTTCAGATGCCAGAGGGGGATCAGGATCAGGCCCGGAGGCCGGGCAGTTGGATGAGCAGACCAGAGAGTTTCTTTCTTCTGAGGTTACCCGCATCATACTGGAGCAGACTCCTATGATCTTCGGTTCGATCAAGGATGGTATTCTAGAGCTGATGGATGAGAGATTGGGCACCTTCCGTGCCGAGGTGGCGACCATGATGGGGTCGCGCACACTTACGTTCAGGGAGTTCAGAGCATGTGGAGCTCCAGACTACCATGGGGCGCGGACCCCATAGCGAGTACGAGATGGTTGGCGGATGTGACCAACGCTTTCCGCACAAGCAGGTGTCCCGAGGGGGACAAGGTTAGATTGGCGTCCTGTCTCCTGAAGGACAGGGCACGGGATTGGTGGGAGGAGGTCGGACATACTATTGGAGATGATGCAGCGTTAGATGCCATGACCTGGACCGATTTCTCCACCAGGTTCAGGGCGGAGTTTGCACCGGTTATCGAGGTGCAGCAGTTAGCCAGGGAGTTTCAGGACCTCACCCAGACAACAGAGACAGTGGCGAAGATCACCGCCAAGTTCAGGAAGAGGGCTCTTCTTGTTCCTCAGTATGCAGCTGATGAGGAGATGAAGAAAGCCCGTTACCATGAGATGCTGCGGAGCGACATCCGCCAGTTTGTGAGCCGGTCCAACTGTAAAACGCTGGATGACATGATTGCTAAGGCTCGGGAGAGGGAGATTGACCTTGAGATGGAGAAGATGAGGAAACCGGAGGCGGTTTCGGGTACAGGCAGTTCGGGAAAAACGCCCAAGGTTTCAGATCACAGATCCAGGAGTCAGCAGAGCCACGGTCGATGTGGCAAGTGTGGGAGATTGCACGATGGGGTGTGCTAGGCAGGGAGTTCTGGCTGCTACAAGTGCGGTCGAACTGGGCATTTGAGTAGGGATTGTACGGCTCCTGCTACCGCTATTGCAGCACCAGATCTGATTTGCTTTCAGTGCAATCATAAGGGACATAAAAAGTCCCAGTGTCCGAGTCTAGCTGCAGCAAGGAAGGTGGTTGCACCTACCCCTGCCACCTTGAGGATTACAGATGGCCGTAAGGGCCAAACAGAGGCACCTGTGGCTAGGAGTCGAGCTTTTCAGATGACAGCGGAGGAGGCGCGAACGACTCCTGATGTGGTGACGGGTATGTATTTTCCCTTCATCTCTATATTATTGTTAGTATTATTGAGTATTGCTTATGGTTATATGTTTTGTATAGGGTCGTTCTCTGTGAACGACATCTTTGCTACAGTATTGTTTGATTCAGGGGCTACCCGATCGTTTGTATCGCTAGCGCTTAGCAAGAGATTTAGTAGAGCTCCTGGGGAGCTGGATTGTCCACTAGAGGTCGAGATAGTAGATGATAGGACCGTGAGGGTCGCTAGAGTACATCGAGGATGTTCTCTTCAGTTGTTCGACGAGCAGTTTTTGGTGGATGTAGTCCCTATTCCTCTACGAGGGAATAAGGTTATAGTGGGTATGGATTGGTTGAGTCCCAACGGGGCCGTGATTGATTGCGAGTTACAGCAAGTGAGGGTTCGCACTCCCAGTAGGGGAGAGTTAGTGATTCAGGGTGAGAGGCCACAGTGTGGACCAGTTCTTTGTTCAGCCGCGAGGGCGAGACGCTATTTTCAGCAGGGTTGCGC